ATCTATTAATGATTTTTCTAGGCACTATGCTGCGTCCTTTCATTGTTTTTCCTTTTTAATTGAAAGCATACTCAGATACACATTAGACAACAAACACAATAAAGAAAAATTTGTGATCATTCACTATTGTCTTAATTTTCTTTGTATTATTTTCTGATCTACTGAAGCTTTTCTAATTATATATTTAAATCTGTCAGTCGTGAACTTTCTTGTTACTTCTAGGCTCTAATTCTAAGAAAAGAGTTTTTTTCCTCTGCAGATTTATAAAATAATATATTTTCTCCTAGATAGTATATACATTTTATAATAATATTTAACTCTTTAATAAATCCCAATTTTTTTTGTTGTATTAGTGAAATTAATTTTTGTTTCCAGGTCATAATTCAGTTCTGATAACACATTGCCTGGAGTTAAGTCTGGTACAATTTCTGAGCATTTATATCATTTTTCTTTAAAAGCATAAGCCTTCAACAGTTTATTCATTTCCTATAAATTCTCAACTAAAATTTTAAATACATCAGAGGGCCTATAGCACAGAAGTGGGGAAATAAGCATTTTAGGTATGATGTTGATAATTACATTCTGTGGTCTAATAAAAACCCTTTTATCTTGACAGTGTTTTTATAATTTTGAACAACACTGGTTATTAATAAAATAATTATATGTAATAATAAATTTTTGGTTTAATATTAATAGTAAGAACCACAAAAATACTACTTCACATTCACTAGAATGGCTATAATCAAAAAGACGGGTAACAAGTGTTGGCAAGCATGTGGAGAAATTAAAACTCTCATACATTCCTGGTGAGAACGTAAAATGGTGCAGCCACTTTGGAACACAGTTTGGCAATTCTTCAAACATTTAAGCATAGAATTATAACACAGCAGTTCCATTCCTAGACATATAACCAAGAGAAATTAAAGCATATGTCCACACAAATATTTGTACGAGTGTTCAAAGCAGCTTTATTCATGATAGTCAAAGAGTGGAAACAACCCAAATGTGCATCAATTGAGAAATGGATACACAAAATGTGGTATATCCATACAATGAAATATTATTTAGCCATAAAGAGGAATGAAGTATTGATATATACTGTGACATGGAAGAACCTTGAAAACATTAAGCTAATCAAAAGAAGGCAAAAACAAAAAGCCACATACTGTATGATTTCATTTATATGAGATATCCAGAATAGGCGAGTCCATAGAGATAGAAAGTAGAAGTAGGTGAGTGATTGCCAAGGCCCAGGGGTTTGGGAGGAACTGACTAGTGACTGCTAATTGGTTCAGGATTTCTTACTGGGGTGATGAAAGTCTCATATACATTGATTGTGCTGCTGATTTCACAGTTCTGCGAATATACTGAAAACCATTGAATTGTACATTTTAAGTGGGTGAATTGAGGATATGTGAAATATACCTCAAAAGAGGTATGAAAAATAGAAAGTGGCGTGCTGGTATATGTTTAACAATTGGCTCTCCCAGCGTCCTTCTGAGAATTACACCGCCATACAGGTGGTTGCTATTTTCATTTATATTGGAAAATAAGAGTGAAACATTGGAGATGTATGTCAGAACTTCATTTGTTCATCAGTGATGTAAGCAAATCCTTTGCTGAATTAGATGATAATTTTTGGATGCCAGAGGAATTTTTTTATGTCTGCAGTATTACCAGTGTAACAGCTATAGACATGACACTTTGAAGTTTAATCTGCATTATTAACATTTTCTCCATATTGTCTTAAGTACAGACAATCAGCAAAACAGTAAATCATAGCCTGATTTGTAGCATTTGGCAATTCGTGGGGTAAATACTCTCACCATGGCTGATTGCTGGCTACTAACATAATCTCACTTACTGTGCGTTTGGGAAGAACTGTGCAGTAATACACTATTATATGGTATTTCTGCCATACCAATACCACAGAAGAAGAATATGGAAAAATAAATAGGAGAGTTAGAGTTTGGGGTATTTTTTACCTTAGTTTTTAATATAGTATATCTAATTATAAGTTTCTATAATTTAATTTTTAATAATGACTATGTTTAACAACCTGCTTAAAGAATTTCTGAAAAATGTAATAGCTGATTCTTAACAGGCTGGTGTGAGCCAGCTCCGACCCACAAGAGAATTAACGCCTGAATGAGGAGGCTCTGAATGTTGAAGACTAGTTTACAAGATAGACTTGGCCTGTTGAGATAGGCTGGAGACATGTAACCTTTAATTAATGAAGCTTTGAAAAAAGAATTCAAGGAAAAATGCAAGTACAAGAGATATTAAGCAGGTTATTAATTTGAAATTATTTATTGAGTTGCTAATATATTCAACACGCTGTAATGGGTCTAGTAATATACAAAGGTAGTTACAGATGTAATTTCTGCCTTTGGGGAGCGAATATCCTAGTTGCTGGACTAGACATGCAAACAAACCAACTATTGTGAGGAATATATTATGATAAAGTACAGATATGTTCCAAGGACTAGAGAGGAGAAAAGACGGAGTGAAGAGGTGCTATTTGAGTTGGGACTTAATGGATGAGGAGTAGCTTACTAGGTGGAAATGAGGAGAATTTAAAGCAAAGAATATAATGTTAAAAAGCGTGAGAATGTGAAATAGATCATGGATGGACTACTCATAAAACTCAGATGCTAAAAGCCTGTTATGTAACTGGCATGTCCTGCTTCATCAGCCTGAGTTACAAACACAGTCATATTATTTTTATTTTCCTAATTCCTGTTTCCTAATTGCCTAATTAACTTTCTAACCAAAATTTGCTAATTATATTTTCCTAATTTTCCTGGTTGTGCTTATGAATCTCTATCTATCCTTATTGAGTGGAAGTGCATCATCTGTCCCTGGGATCTAGAGACTGTCATACAGAGTGAAGTATGTCAGAAAGAGAAAAACAAATATCGTATATTAATGCATGTATGTGGAACCTAAAAAAATGGTACAGATGAACCGGTTTAAAGGGCAGAAGTTGAGACACAGATGTAGAGAACAAATGTATGGACACTAAGGGGGGAAAGACACGGGGGTGTGGGGATGGTGGTATGCTGAACTGGGCGATTGGGATTGACATGTATACACTGATGTGTATAAAATTGATGACTAATAAGAACCTGCTGTATTAAAAAAAAAGATGAAAGAAGGATAAATTTTAAAGAAACAAACAAAATTAATAGTAAAGGAACCTATTTAAAGCTGCATTTGGGCTTCCCTGGTGGCGCAGTTGTTGAGAGTCCGCCTGCCGATGCAGGGGACACTGATTCGTGCCCCGGTCTGGGAAGATCCCACATGCAGCGGAGCGGCTGGGCCCGTGAGCCATGGCCGCTGAGCCTGCGTGTCCAGAGCCCGTGCTCCGCAGCGGGAGAGGCCGCAGCAGTGATAGGCCCGCGTACAGCAAGAAAAAAAAAAAAGCTGCATTTTGCCTCTTAAAAGTTTGTAGACATTTTCTGGACTTGACTTATCTGGTCACTAATAACGGTTATTGTATATAGAATCAAAGTCCATAAGGAATCACTTAGTTGGAGAACATTCAGACATAAACAAGCATAACATAAAAGGAAAGGCTATATCATGCACCTTAGAAATATTAGAACAGCAAGAACTTAGTTATGAACTATTCTTACACAGTGGACATAAGTAAAATAATAATACAAATTTTATCCAATAAAAATTTTCTTGTTGTGGAACTTGGAGAATAAATTTTACGTATAGGTTGACCCATACCAGGACTTAGAAAGAATGCATCTGTAACTGCATTGTGCTTTGCTCTGGGTTCATATTGTAGAATCACTTGTAAGCCCCGTTTCACGAGGTGTGCACTATTAACTCATAGTTTAGCTGTGAGGCTTGCAGTCTTTAGGAACCTCGTTCTCTTCACCTTAAAGTCAGAGTTGTCAGAGTCCTCTAGAATATTCTCAGGAATTTATGAAATGCAGAAAGTTTCCTTACTTCAGATGCCTATAAAGGTATCCCTGGAGCCTAGTTTTCAGCCCTTCATGTAGTCCTCATCCTTGTGAGTTCCCCTGCTCCATTCTAAGCTGGAGTAGGTCTCCACAGGTCTCTATCCCACCCCGCATTTTCTAGCTCTACTTGGAGACAGCAAGACCTTAAAACTATAATGGTGCTGGTGTATTTCAGTTCTCTAATGCCACCTGAGGCTTGGGGAAACCAGGTGTTTGCAAAATCACATTACCTGTCCAGAAATACGCCTTATTTTCTGCAGGCATTAAATTCGCTTCCACTTTTCAGTCAGGGACCTCCACTTACCTTATTAAGTAATCAACCAATCTGTATTCACCATTATAGTGGTCTCTCTTGAGTAGCATATTGGAAGAAACTCATCTCCACAGTAGTATTATTGATTTTACATCTTATAAACATCCCAAATATTTATTGTCAGGAGTTGTTCATTTGTATTTTAATGCGCTTTTTTACCTGAGCGTGTGTTGGTTTCCTTAATTAAAATACTATTCCTCATATAGTACAAATATTTTAATAACATTTTTAGGGGATCCTGCATTTTACAATTTCATATCTTTCCCATGAAAAGATTTTGTTCTCTTTCTGTTTTCCACATTCAGGACTGAGAAACATCTTCTACCTGCTTTATAAAATCTTATATTATCAACATTATGTACTGTCTGATATCATGCTTTGAGAAGGGCACGTCACCTCCATGGTACCATTCCCAATAATTCATAACCTCAATTTAATCATGTGGAAATATCAGGCAAACTTAAATGGAAGAACCTTCTATGAAATAACCAACCAGTGTTCTTCAAAATCTTATAAGTAATTCACTTTCCACTAAATAAGCTGTCAAAAGCCCACATGAATTTGACAAAGATAGAAAACATCTGAAAAATGTGACTTTAGAAAGATGTTTCATTAAAACAATGAAGTGATTAAAATGTTACCTGCCACTTTGCCTAAAATAAGAGTATACAAACAGTTTTATAACACATTTTCATCACTTCTCTCAACAGGCGATTCAGCTAATCTAACCTGCAGAGCTTTCTTTGGGTACAGTGGAGATGTCAGTCCTTTAATATACTGGATGAAAGGAGAGAAGTTTATTGAAGATCTGGATGAAAATCGAGTTTGGGAAAGTGACATTAGGTAAAGTAATTTTTGTCTTTTAACTTATACAATCAAGATTAACTTTTGTTCTCTTAGTGAATAGAAAGTGAACTAAAAGAAAAGAAGGGGTTTGGGGGAGTGTTTTACTATTATAATAAAAATATTGCAACATTTAGTGGCAAAGAGGCAAAATAGTCTTGAGAGAGTGACTATGAAATTGTCAAACAGGAGTGCCATTTGCAAAGAATTTAAGAGAATTAAAAAGGAGTTTTTCACTAAGGAATAAACTGAGTGTGAGAGAGACCAAAATAGCATCAAATATGGAAAATGTCTGAGATCAGATGATACAGCCACTATGTAGAACAGTATGGGGGTTCCTTAAAAAACTGCAAATAGAACTACCATATGACCCAGCAATCCCACTACTGGGCATATACCCTGAGAAAAGCATAATTCAAAAAGAGTCATGTACCACAATGTTCACTGCAGCTCTGTTTACAATAGCCAGGACATGGAAGCAACCTAAGTGTCCATTGACAGATGAATGGATAAGGAAGATGTGACACATATATACAATGGAATATTACTCAGCCATAAAGGGAAACGAAATTGAGTTATTTGTAGTGAGGTGGATGGACCTAGAATCTGTCATACAGAGTGAAGTAAGTCAGAAAGAGAAAAACAAATACTGTATGCTAACACATATATATGGAATCTAAAAACAAAAAAAAAACAAAAAAAGGTCCTGAAGAACCTAGGGGCAGGACAGGAATAAAGACGCAGACGTAGAGAATGGACTTGAGGATACGGGGAGTGGGGAGGGTAAGCTGGGACGAAGTGAGAGAGTGGCATGGACATATATACACTACCAAATGTAAAACCGATAGCTAGTGGGAAGCAGCCATATAGCACAGGGAGATCAGCTTGGTGTTTTGTGACCACCTAGAGGGGTGGGATAGGGAGGGTGGGAGGGAGACGCAAGAGGGAGGGGATATGGGGATATATGTATATGTATAGCTGCTTCACTTTGTTATAAAGCAGAAACTAATACACCATTCATTGTAAAGCAATTATACTCCAATAAAGATGTTTAAAAAAAACCACGGAAAATGTGATATTATGCCTTCGGTTTATAAGAGCTCTTTTTCTTAATTGTTGAGAGAAGATATTAACAGGTTTCTAGGATTCAACCAAACGCAATCTTTCTAACTTCCTTTTATATGTTTTTACATATTTTAGGCATCATGTTGACTATAAAGCACTTGATAGGAATGATAAAGGATACAAAAAATGTTTTTATCACCTTTTTTAGTCTGACTTTAATGTCTAAACATTAATATAGTGGGAATAATAGTGAATAATTAAAATACAATCGATTTTGAGGGCATCATGCTTAAGCCTCTTGCTTTTTTAAAAAAAATAATTAATGTATTTGTTCATTTACTTTTAAATATTGAGGTATTCAATTATGACCCAAAGTAGGCTTATACACAGATACTCATTTTTAATCATAATGTAAATTGGCAAATACATTAATAAATAAGCTATAAGTGAATCAAAATACTGATCAATTGTAAACATTCTCCCATCTAAAGATCACCTCTTCTGGGCATATATGAGCATTTTAACTAAATTCTTCTTCTTAAATGTGAGGAGTTTTAAAACTTGATGAAAGGTATAAGAGAAAAAGGTTTTCGATAGAAAATAAAAACCTATAGAACTGTCATATAAGATTATTTCTACTGGAATTTTCTTCCTGGCAACAAATACACAAGAATATTGCACTGCAGTTGGGTTCTGAAATGCCCAAATGAGCAATTCTCCAGTATGTACTAAAGTGTTCCTCTGCTATTTCTCATGTTCAAAACTTCACTATTATCTCATACCCATACACTCTGAAATGCTAAGGTTAAAGAAGGATAATAAACCTCCTAACTTTTCCACTCTCTCCTGTTGTGGGTGCTCAGGGAATGTTCTAGAAAGGTATTTTTCTTTATTTCTGCATTAGGAAGTATTGTGCAGAAATGAGTTACCAAGCAGGTGGGAGGGTAGAGGTGGAAACTTTGTGAGCAAGGAAAGGGAGGCTTACTTTGAAGTTTTCCATTTGTTCTAAAAAGATTGCTAAAATCCTTGACACTGAGATTAGTGAGCGTTTACCATTAATTTTAAATGTCAGAATTAAACACTTCATCAAACATTTAGTCTACAGTTTTGTAATTTCATGTTTCTTTTAAAATAGGAATTGATTTGCACCATTAAAAAAAAATAGGCTAGAGGTTTCAATTGAAATGTCAAAATAGCTCAGAAATTTTCTATTCTTTCCTTTTATTTTTTTAAACTAACCTGGTAGATAATTAGTCCTCCAGCCGAAGACATTAGAATTTCTTATCTCACCCTTACATCATATTTCTTCTTAAAGGGAAAGCAATTTGTATACTTTTCTTCAAGGTCTCTCTCACCTCTTTATTATGATAGTGTGATTGTCCTGCTAAGAGAGATAATTAACTGCAACTTAATTAGCATCTACAAAGACAAGCTTCCTTATTAGAAGTGAAGAAGAAAAGGGCATGATATAATTTAATTAAGATAGCATTAATCCATGACCAAATTTGAAGCACAGATGCTGTAGGTTTTTTCACATCAGATTCAGATTCATCTAAATGTTTTTCTTTTTCATGTATGTGTATGTTTGTGTGGGGTTTTTTGTTTCGTTTCGCTTTATATTTTAGAATCCTCAAGGAGCATCTTGGGGAACAGGAAGTTTCCATCTCATTAATTGTGGACTCTGTAGAAGAAGGTGACTTGGGAAATTACTCCTGTTATGTTGAAAATGGAAATGGACGTCGGCATGCCAGTGTTCTCCTTCACAAACGGGGTGAGTGTAACCTTCTAAGCTTGAGTGGTTGACTTAACCTTTAATGGAAGGGAAGTAATTGGGAAGCAAAAAGGTTTTAAATTGTTTTTACATAAATTTATTCTAAATAAAATAATTACATTAGCATTAGGGCCATCAAAACATGTAACACAGCAGATAGGTGACTAGCTCATACACTAGAGTCAAACTCAGATTCCTTGCTTTGTTTTTTTGTTGGTTTGTTTGTTTTGGCCGCGCCTCATGGTATGCGGGATCTTAGTTCTTGAACCAGGGATCAAACCCACCAGGGATTGAACCCATTCCCCCTGCAGTGGAAGCGGGGAGTCTTCACCACTGGACCACCAGGGAAGTCCCCCTTGCTCTGTTTTAATACCAGCTATATAACCTTAGGAATGATATCTAACTTCCTTAAGCTTCAGTTTTCTGATAATATGGAATGGGGAAAATAATAATATCAACTCTTCAGTGTGTTTTAAGGATGAAAGAAGACAGTAAATGTGAAGAGCTTGGCATGGAGCCTGTACACAGGAAGTATTTAGTTAGATGCTACTCTTTATTATTAGAAATAAGCAAACCAATTAAAAATAACCAGGACAGTTTTAAGTCAAAGATTGTGCTCCTTATTGGAAGGTTGTTCCTTGAGTGTAAGAATTATGTCCAATGGATTCCCCATTGTAGTTCTTTTTGACTTTTTTTCTGCCTTGGATAAGTTTCACATGTGTAATATCCTCCCATGATTAATAATAATTCGCTAGTGAATTATTTGTCAATTATTATTCATGAATAGCAATTCACTAAATCTGATTCCACGGCAACCCCAACACCTTACACACAGGGATAAAATATATATAAATAGATATTGAATTGTTTGAAATTATAGACGATTGTAAAATTTGAGCCATGCCTTTTAGTTGGTGAAACTTTTCATGTACATCGCAGAGAAAAATATATTTTTTCTACATTATGCTAAGTGAAAACTTTCTGGATGTTCTCTTACTCAGCAAATTCACAGTGATTTTAATTTCAAAGCACATGTTTAATCCTAAACTCTTTGAGGTTGGAAAAGAAAGAGAATGCCGAAGACTGTTCCCCTCACTTTAGTGGACAATAGATTCTCTTTGAATAATGTTACCGAAAGCTATTAAAACAGACACTTCTGTTGTCAAGGTGACTATAATATTAAAATACTTTACTTTTGGGGGGATGTTAACAGAGGGAAAAGGTAAGCAGCAGTTAGTAAGCAATATGATTGTTTGTTTCTCTAGCTTAACACATATATTCAGTCAATGAAGGGATTTAGAGTAGAAATATTATACATATAAAAGGACAGAAATAGCTTCTCATGGTTGGAAGCAATTTAAATGTGTAATTGAACTACTCCGTAACATCTTCCTCAGTGATCGGTCAGCTTATACTGGATCACATTCCTCCTCAAGGAAGCCAATTCTACCTTTGGAAAAAACCTAACTATTAGAAAGCATTCCTATTTCACTGTCTGTCTACTCCTTGACCCCACTTTCAATCTCTCTTCCCCAAAGTAGCCCTTCAAAAGTTTGAGGACCGTCACCATAATCCTTCTGGGCCTTCATTTCCCTAGATTCAACTTCTTTAGTTCCTTTTATTCATACTTCTTTTATGTGGATAAAATACTTGCACCATTCTGGTTACTCTCTTGAGCAACATATATTTCTTTTTAGGACAAAGTAGGAGTGACAGTTAAAGTATGGAAGCTGGGTTGTTTCCAAGGAGGATACAATTATTAAAGCTCTCTTCTAGCAGCCAGGCACACAGCCAGGAAGGGGCACACAGCCCCACGCTATTTTTAGCATGTGTGGCCTAAGGTTAAGTTGCCCATAGCTACAGAAGCTTCCAGTACTACAAAAATAAATGACTGAGGAATCAAGGAAATTGTTTGAAAAAACTTTTCCAATACTGTCTAATTCCCCAAACATGAAGAAGAAAGTGTAGTGGACAATGTTAGAGCACTCTTGAATACTTAGATCTTCCACAGTGTTTTTCAAAGATGTATTTATGCCAACAGCATTTTATTCTTAATAAAATAAAAGCATTAAGAAGCCAAAAAGAGTTCTTCAAGGTCATGTTCTCCAAAAGTCCCTCTTAAAGTTAGTGTTCACCTTCCTTTTAAGGGAGCTGCAGCAAATAAGTCATCAATTCACAATGACAGCAGTGTGGAATGGTCTACCCCAACCATCTACGGGGAAAAACAAAGGACTCTAGTTAACAGATGGCATAACTGCAAGTTCCCCAGCCCTGAAAGGTTCAGAAGGTCAAGACACAGCACATGTGAGCTGATAGTTTGGGTCTTTGATCATAGGGTCCCTGAAAGAGTTAAATTGCTGTCATGCTAGCAATTATGTAATGACCAGATGCGTTATATTGCTTGAGGGGCTTCCCTGGTGGCGCAGCGGTTAAGAATCCACCTGCCAATGCAGGGGACATGGGTTTGAGACCTGGTCCAGGAAGATCCCACATGCCGCAGAGCAACTAAGCCCGTGCACCACAACTACTGAGCTGCTGAGCCTGCGCTCTGGACCCCGCAAGCCACAACTACTGAGCCCCCATGCCACAACTACTGAGCCCCCGTGCCACAACTACTGAAGCCCACACGCCTAGAGCCTGTGCTCTGCAACAAGAGACGCCGCTGCAATGAGAAGCCCGCGCACCGCAACGAAGAGTAGCCCCCACTCACTTCAGCTAGAGAAAGCCCGCGTGCAGCAACGAAGACCCAATGCAGCCAAAAATAAAATAAATACATTTTTTAAAAAGAAAAGGAAAATCCTTGCTTGGGAATATTCAGAGTTGTTGATTCCTGCAGCCAGGGAAGGTACTTGGACAGTTAGGATCATGTCACATGCTATACAGAGAACTAGGTTATACAGTGAAACAGAGACAAAGGGCCATGGGGCCATATTAGTGTATGACTACCCTGCTCCTTATTCCTCACTCTAGTCCCTGGCCTGACAAGCTTGAGGGTTAGATCCTTGTTCCAAAAAGAACCAAAGCAAAGAGTAGACCAACATTCACTATTTGTCTCCACCATTGCCTATTGAATTGAATTCCATATATGTCTCTGAATCTTTTACCCAGATGTCTTTGCTTAGATTCCTAATTGCTGCTACCCGATTCGACCACACATCAAACACTGACCTTCAGTTTCCCTCCAAAACCCCGACCTTTTATTTTCCTTTCATTTTTATGTTTTCCATTTCTCTAACACAAACAATTCTCCAGATGGATACTCAGCAGCATTGTGCTCTGGCCTCTGGGCTAGCCCCTCTTGCACCGATCAGGCAGTCCTAAATTTCTTACTCATCCGCTGAGTTTTTCGTCCATACTCTAATTCTGGATGACCTCACAGCGTGGACATGTTTACTGTCTGGAGCAAAGTAGTTCAATGTTTAAGGGTTTGGACTCTGGAGCAAGGCTGTCTGTATGAAACCTACTCTCTGCTTACTAGCTATGCTATCCTGGACAAATCCCTTATTCTCTGTGAGCCTCAAATTCCTCTTGTGTAAAAGGGGAATAATAATAGCACCTTCCATATAGAGTAGCTATGAGGATTTAATAAATGAATATATATCAATATGTATCACAATGTCTGACACATATTTATCACCTAGTAAACGTTAGCAGCTATTACATGATTTTTCTACTCCAACTACATGATGTTCTGGCTAATTTAGGATGCAGCAATAATGTGTTCCATTAAAAACTCCCTGAAATCTAATTTATCGTTCATTAAAATGGTCAGCTGTAGCTCCAGCAATTTTGTTCCGTTGATTCTGTATTTTTCTTTATAACAGATTTACTTTAGTTTGAATGTGCTGTCCGAAAGGAGATCTTCATTTATTTATTCATGCATTTAATGATAATTGTTAAGAACCTACTATGTGTCTGGCACTCATAAAATTAAATGAACAGGAAATAAGAACCAATATAATTTGAAATGCCATCATCTGCTTTTTAAATTACATTGATATTAAGCACTTCTAATGTATTGACAGAATTGTGCTTCTAGGGGATGTTTGGCTTTGAAACTGTCACATTAAGGGAATGTTCATTAACAGTCCTGTTGTAAATGGTTATGTTTAGATATATCGATTACAATATTATGGCACTTCATTCATCATGAAGTAGTTTGGGGACTGGCAAAGTATCTACCTCAGAGACTAGCACTAGTTAATAATGATAAATATCTAGTTTTTCTCTATTCCCCCTCAAACACATTTTAATTGTTGCATGTGCAGTCTCTCTCTCTCCCTCCCTCCCTCTCCGTCCAAAGAGTGTAATCAATGGGAATTAGACTTGCTCTATAAACTCCCTAGTCCTCGGAATATCTTTAGTAATGTAATTAACATGTACATCATTTAGGATGCATTGTTTTAAAGCCAGATGAATTTAGACCCAGTGGAGTCCTTATCCCTTCTTATAATGAATCATTTTTGTACTATGTGCCCCTATCCTTGTTGGTATTTACCTAGTGCATTTATTTGCTGAGAGATACAGTAAGACTATAGAACTGTTTAAAGCTCTCTCGGGGCTCATCCTTTGACATCTTCGACCATTGATTTCAGAATATGGAAAAGCCAAACTTTGCCCAGACATCAAAACCTCCTACATCTCTTTATGGCTGCATCTCCCTAAAAAGACCATGACCCATTAAAAACTGAGTAGACATCCACAGAAGAGTCACTTTTACTGAGTCGTTACTGTGGGGGAGGAAAAATCATTTTCTCTCTACCTTTCTAGGTTCTTGGCTGAGACACACCGTGTAATAAAAGATAGATTAACAGGAGAAAAACAAACATAAATTTAATAGCATATATTCCTCCTGTATACATGGGACAATCCCAGGAAAGCTGAGTAACTCCCTGAAGTGGCCCAAGCCAGCACCTTAATTACCATCTCCAGCTAAAGACAAAACAAGGTGTTGGGGAGCAGGGAGGTGGCCAGGAAAAGCACAGTAACCATGGGCATGG